TACTGAAAAATTGGGATCGATTAAGCAAACACTTTTTCTCTAGTACAAAAATACTTAGCCGATTAGTCCCACCTTCTGTACAAATCTCTTTATTCTAAACTTTATTGTAAAGTTCTAACGATCCGAAAAATTCAACTTAATATAGTTACTTGAAAAGGGTTGTTTGCGGCCTGACAAACAAGCAGACAGACATAAACGTTCAGTAGCGCAATAGAGTTCAACGTAACCAATGCGTACGCTATGGAACCATCGCTTAAAGGAAGAAACAAAAATTGCCTAAATTAGATACACGCGACGGCTTGACTGTAAGATCTTGGCATGTTTGTTTACCTGACACGTTACTAAAAATTAAAAACACGCATTACAAACAAACGTTTAGTCAATAACGCAAAGGAAATTCATACTAATTCAACGATTCTACCTATCTGTTTCATTTTATAGCATGTGCCGACGGCGATGCCCGTTGAGTCCCTATCTGGTTCACCGTTAAAAGCAACCCACACCTACAGAGTCTAAAAATTTAAAATAAGTGGAGAACTTTTGAGGAAAAATGATTTTTTGACATTTGCTCTTTAACTTGCACTTCTTAACCCTTTGCTTTCGAACTTGCTTAACGAACCTCATTGTTAGAAGCATCTGACATAGAGCACTAAGCACACTGATTATACTGCGTGCCCCTTCATTTAACATATCATAGCAAGCAACATATTACGGAAGACGTAGATAGTAGACTCAAATGGCCAGTTTCTAAAATGCCCCGCTCCCGGCTAGGACTGATAGTAAATGGTTGATCTCAATCCCTTACTTATTGGTTTAGTCCCGCCCCAGGCATTCTTCTAATCATAATACGATTGGTAAAAAGGAGTTCATCCTGCAAACATCGCCCTCGAACCCTGTTTCCTGCTTCGCATCCGCCCAATATAGGTTAAAAGTGATTATAAAGCCGGTGGTAATATTTTGGTGATTTACGAGCCAGAGAAAAACTATCACAGTAACCACGAGCAGCAGATATTGTCCGAGATTTTTTTAAAATTTCTTCTTATCTATATTTTTCTTTTGTCTTTTGTTACTGTGACTGAGCCGAAATCAACAGTATATTAACGTATTGACGTCGCGATAGCGCGCGCGTGACGCTTGAAGAATTTTCATAGCGTACTGCTGGTAGGCATTTCATAAACATATTATATATATATATATATATATATATATATATACTAGGCGGTCAGTTTCGGACCTACAACTCATGTTATAGGTCCGAAATTGATTCAGATGACTCGCGTTAAGCACCATACAAAAAGTGTGCACGCCCGGATTCTACCCGTAACAACCCAACGCTCTTAGGTTTAACGGCAGGATAGCACGTTATACACGGATTAAAGAAAAGTACAATCGTATCGTAGTTTTGACTGTCCCTAGTCCCTATGCCACTGACGAACACTTCAATCACGAAGTCTTCAATAATTCGCTTGCGTAGACGTTACCTAATAGCGTTGAACTTTAACTCGGTTGACTGTAGTCGTTTAAGTTCGAACACTTCTAAACAGTACCATTTCGAATACACGTTACCTAACTCATCGGATTAGCAGCCATGATATGCATATGAGTATCTTAATTAATAACCGCGAGCGAACGATTGTAATGGGCAAGTTCAATGCCACACATCTTGCGTGTACTAACTAGACAAGTCTGAAACATGAATGAGAGAAGCGAGTTCCCTGCTTGCGAAATAACGAGCAAAACCTTCTTTGCGGGGGGATTTAATAATGGGGTTTATAATGATATAGTTTATTTTACTTTACAAGGCTACAGTACTCGATTAAAAGTTTTTTTATAATAATGGTAACGGTGAACCATATTCAGGGTAGCGGTACGTACATGTCAGATTTTGACAGAACCGCAGGTCGCTTATAAAAGCAATCCATTTTCATGAGTTTTGCTGGGATTCAGTGCCACCCATATTTTCTTGTAAAGGGTTAAAGTAATTCGAATTTTGTGGGAACACTAGGTATTAATGCATCACTTCGTTTCCATCAGACGGACAGACAAGCAGTTGGCAGAATTCGACAAATTACCTTGGCGCCCAAATCTCAGCATCACCGTCCACAACGCCGCTTCAAAGTAGGACTGCGGCTGCTTGAAAATTAGCATTGAGATCCGCACAGACCCATTCAGCCTTTTCTACCACTTCCTGTGCTCCCATCTACGGTAATCTCTAGGGAAAGAAGGAGAACTTGTCGTCGGTTGATATTCTCAACATATATATATATATATATATATATATATATATATATATATAACGAGTTTTATCAACTCGGGGTTACAAATACACAAGGAGATTTAGCTTCAGGTGTGGGAATCACGATTCTATGATATTGTTAGTGCATCTGTTTGTAGCTAGCCGATGTTTGTTCAAAATAGCGTGATCACTGCACAGACGTTTCGTTACCGTCACTTATTAGGCCAGCTGCAACAGATCTCCAGTATGGATGAGGCCGTACGAGTGGGCCTATTAAACGAATGATGGGGTGACAGACACGAAAGCCATGTTTAATGCAGTTGCTCGCATTTCGTCGTCTGCCATTTGCTAAGAGCTGACGAACGAACGAGCGACGATTTCGACTTGGCTTTCTCATAGACCTAATCTTGCGATAATCTCCCTATACGTCATTGGCTGTGAACGCTGTCGAGAGCATCACAGCAAGATAAAGTAGTACGAAGGAATGCTAGTGAGCAGGTTCAAGTACTGCCTGCATCTATTATATCTTGCACATATTTATTTAAATCTTTTATGTGGGTATATTGTTAATATCTACTAACTGTGCGAGGTGTACAGGTAAACATGAAGTACTTTGATGAACAAGCTATATGAAAGTCGACATATGAGATAAAAATATTCTATTCTAGTCAACTTGTAATTTGAAAAAGAACTTTATATTGAAAACTTAATTCTTTAATGGCCTAGAATCTATAAGTCAGTTTATACTAACTAAGCCGTGGGCTAAAAGCTAGCATTTGTTAAAAATGTGATGAGACGAATACCTATTGAAGCACACAATCCTTTATTAAAATCTTTATGGTAAAAGGAAAAAATAATGTACAAACGACTCAGGAAGCAATACTGAACTCGCTTAGGATCCAGCATGCACGCGCCCGTGCACGTTTTTCTAATCTTTCGCTCTGATTATCGACTATCATCATTCTTATTCATTTACAGTTATTTATCCGTCATTGTTTAAAGGAATAATTGCGCAGGTAATGGCGGTTAACGACCCTTCCCGAGGAGGGATGCTACTTATCTAACTCATTGTCGTAAGAACAGTGCGCTAGTATACTGCTAGCCATCCACCCGCATGCAGTTCTGACTAAACATCAACCAGCTGATAAGAGACAGGGAAGACGCGGCGACTTCCACACAGGCCCTCCCGCTGCAGCTAGCGGCTGTTTATAGGCGCACTGCAGCGTGTGGGCAGAAAGTGGTTTAACTCGACGAGTAGGTCTCTCACAGCAACAAAATCTGCGCAGGCCTGCGGCAACTCTACAAAACCACCCTTTACCTGCTGAGTAGCTGCGAATCTTTACTTTTTAACGCAACCGGTGGAGTTTGACAATAACTAAAAAGCAAAGGTGGTTGCGTACAATTGCCAGTTCGCTATTTCACGTCGAAAGGGATCATCGTATCGCTTTTGGATTATAAACGACCGACCGACCGACCAACGAATCGACTGGAGGGTAAACAGCCCTAACGCCAAGCGAAATCATCTTCTGGATCATTAAAATGCTTTTGACGACGACGACGACAGGATCACGGGTCGTTGTAGATGTAAAGTTGTTTTATTTACCGACACTAGGCTTCATGCATCGTATATTACGCGCCCATAGAACGCACTGCAGCTCTCGCTCGATAGAGAACTAAAAAAAGTACAGCAACAGAAGCTCAATGGGGTAATGTTCTTTAGCGGGTGGAACGAACAGCCTTGAGCAACGAACAGCCTTGACCTTCGTGTCAGCCACTGACCGCTGTGGTGTTGTTGACACTATTAATATTGCGTGTGTTACAGGCACTACTACATGTAATCCTCCATGTTAAGTAGACGCAAAAAAAAGCCGCACTGATTCGTCATTCATGGCACCAGGGGATATATATACATACATACATATGTACATATAGGCACATACTTGCGTACGCTTGCGCAAGCACGAGCATGCTGACATTGCTCCATTTGCCAGAGATTTGTCTGTATTTCGCAGCGGTCTCTTCTCTGTCTGCGACAAGCGAGCGGTTTCATCTGCTTTAACGCGTGAGCAACAGGCAAGACGTTATAGATTAATTAGGCGGAAACAGGGTGATTCGTTTCTCTCCTCGCTGCGACAACGTTCACCACGCGGTTTAGTCAGCATAGGTACACCACATGCGATCATCTCTATAATGGAATCTTCGCAAGTACTGCCGAAGTTAACTCGATAACCAAACGGTAGAAACATTGTAATAGTAGGGGGTACCGCAGCGATACGATATTATCAGGAAATGATCATTGCGCGCTAATATGAATAGGTATAAATAATATAAATAGGTACTGGATCAATTTCAGCCTTATTTAGTGCTTGCGTTCCGTGTATGTATACCCCACCATTGCTTCTACGAAAGCTGTCGATAGCTACACTAGGTATAAATATAAACAGTATGTACTATCAGACCTGTGTATATGTATGGACACGTACAAGTGTTGCAAAAATTAAAAAAAAAAGCAGGATTGAGAATTTACATGTGCATCTTCAGCTTCCACCGCCATAGTTCATATACGCATATTCATCATCGTTATACAGCACTGTCTTATCTGGTCAACGGCCGTCAATTTTCTTCCTCGCACCATTATGATTATTAATCTTATTATCAGATCACGCTAAGTTTTAACGGAAACCACCATCGGCTCTCTTGAATCTGGGGTCTATCATGGGATCAACAATCTACTACTAAAGACTATCCTGGGCTCTCGACTTACGTATAATGAAGGGGTTTCTCGGCCTGTACGTTGAGTGTCGCCTTAGCCTGATTGCTAGCGACAACCGCGCCTGCTTCAGAGGTCGGTGGCCCACTGCCACCTGCACCGTTTCCGGCCATGCTGCTGTTGTTACCACTCATTTTTGTTGTTGCTGTTGCTGCTGCTGCCCTTGTTGTTGTTGTTGTTGTTGTTTAGTTGATGTCGTTTATATTGTATCGGCGTGGAAATAGTTGTTATTGTTTCTGTTGGTAATTTACCGTTGCTCCTTCTGTTGTCCGTCCAGCTCGTTGCTGCGTTTCCGTTAGTGGAACAACAACAACTGTGAATGCCCACAACGAGCACCGTCGTAACCGCCGCCTTTCTTCAATTTGTTGTTGTTTCCACAATAAGCCGCTCTCGCTGTTGCAGTTCCTTAGTGGCACAGAACGACACCCACTAGCGACTTCCACTAACACAAGTGCCTTCGTCAATCTTGCCGTCGGAGCCGTCAACAAGGCGCCGTTGCCTGTCGTACGCTGCCAGCGTATGTCGACTTGTTGGTCGTGGTGGATTTTCTTATTTTTGCCTTCGTCACCCGTTGCTGCGTGGGTGCCAAATGCTGTTTGCGATAGATCAGTAGGCAAGGAAACACACAAGCAGCACACTGTAGGCAACGCATTCAGAAATACGACGCACGGTACGCACGAAATGGTGACGATGGTGTTGATAAACCGGTCATAGGCGGGCGATAGAACAAAGAAACAAATAAACAAAACACACACACACACACAAATTAGAGCGGCCGAGGGACCCTGTCTCCTCCTAGAGCTACAAAAAACAGTAATAACCCACCATTCACCTGACCGCCCCCGTCACCTCGTTGGCTAACGCGGAACGTCGATCATTGGGCTGCACTTTGAGTATAGCACAACGGCTCGGACTCTTCTGACGTGCTGTCCGCCAAGGAGGCACATTTAGTGAACTCGGCAGTGCCACGGCTGCTTGCTAACAGTCCCGAAGGCAACTCGACGCTTTCTTGCCGCGGAAACCTGCAAGCGGCAGACGGCCGACTCTCGTTTGTCCTGCGACGGACTGCCACGCGATTGTCTGAGGATTTGGGGCAAGCAACAAGAACCCGTCAATTGGACTGACACACGCCAAACAACTTGATCTCGCTGAGTTATTCACTCACGATTCAACTGGCTCTCAGACCCCGTCGCAACAATGACGACAACAAACCGTGTACTCGCTACCTACTTTAACGCGGCGGCAACGACGACGACGACAACAGCGGCAGCTCTAGATCGGAAAAATAATAATAGCAAACAGTTTCGAGTAACTGGATACGCACACACTAGTTGTCGATTCTGCAGCTTACGGCTTCGTACACTGCTTATGATAATGTTGTTACTGCTGTTATTGTAGCGGTCAAGTCAGCCCGTTATTGTTCACGATGGTTACAGCTTTTTATGGGCGGGCGGTTGAGCGGCAGTTCAGCGCCCCGAAAACCTGCTAGTCTTCCCTGCTCGGAGCACGTATCGTCGAATCTTTGTCAGAAGCGTCGTACACCGTTGCAGATCACGTCGAATTTTTTCTCCACAACAAGCACCGCCGTCCACCTCGGCTTTTCCTCTGCCACAAACCAACACTTGAGTACCGCACACGCTGTTGTTGTTAACGTACAACCGCTAGTCGACTGTCTCTGACTAGCTAATCCTGTCCAGCCTTGTTCCTTCGTCAATACATGGATTTGTTTTTTGTCCGTCTCTCGTAATGACGTTGACGTGGTGTAGCGTTTGGGATAGCGGACTGCTCCGTTCTTCAATTCTTCACCGAGAGCTTCGACTACCAACAGTTGCTCTCGTGGCAACAGCTGTAACAGTGATTCGGTTGCTGTATCGCAGCCGACGTTTTTGTCTCTCCTGCTCAATGTCTCGTTGTATTCGGGCTACTCGTTTTTCGCGGTGCGATGTTCGGCCGTACGCCGAAGTCGCTCAAGCCTCTGAAAAATTCGAGAGTAAAATACACAATTTCCTCGTATTTTTGACAACTTGAAAGAGATGCGTTGTGCACGCAATTCTCACTTGTTTTCTTCGCTGCACGAAACGGATCACCAGCACAGCACCATGATCGCATCAAACCATACTCATTCCCCAGAGCAGCACACCATACCATACAGACTTGATATTATAAACAACAACCCGAGAAGCGGCGGTCCACTGCGCTGCGCACACAACGCGCCAGCTCCCGGCAATGTTTCGCTACGGTAGCCTGTAACGCCCTTGAGAGGGCGCCGTCTAGCGGGAATTAGCCAGCGAGTGGCCTTTAAGGGTGCAAGGAGGGTATGAGACGTGGGAGCTTGCAGAAACATTCGGCCATAATTTTCCTCTCGGTTAATTCTTCTCCAAAGCAAGTTCTCAAAAATACACATGCTCGACAATGTATTCGAGCCTCAAATTGTATTTGCCTTGAATTTTAGAGGTGAATTTGGTGTGAAAGTAACATTTTTTTGGTGCTCGCTTTTCTTGTAAACAAGTCTAACAACAAATCATTGCGGGATAGAAAAGGTTGTTAAATATAGAGGAAGCTAAGTTGTCGTAAAATCTATGTATTGATCATACGCTTATTGATTGATTGATTGTTATATAGTTTGGCAGAGGTCTGCGTATACATGCAAAAACCTCTTAATTTCGTGTTGCAGTTTGTCTCCGTTCCTTGCGATGGAACTAATAACCTCGCTACAAATGAAACGACGACGACGACGAAAACAACGCCCACAGACAGTGGAAGCAAAGTTATTCGCGACCGAAGAAAGGGCCATTGCGTTAGAGAGGCATAATCTATCTATTTACTACTTAGAATTAAGTCCCAAGGAATGCATACGTCTTAATGCATCATAAGGAATTATTTTTGGATAAATGGACCACTGATGTACAAATGAGACACAAAGTACAGCGTCTTGTACTTTCGAATAGTTGCTATATTCAAAAAAGCGAACGTTGTTTTGATTTAATAACAAAAACTAGGTAAAAAACATTGCTGCGCGCTTCGTAGACGACAGTTGTAGCCTGAGGCCGTTTATGGCATAGCCGCGTTTATAGTAAATGTTGACTTCACCATTTTTTTGTGCATCTTCTGACACTCTATATGAAAGTCTACAAACTGTGTACGAGTGGATAACAATTGCCAATGTTCATGTAGATATGGTTGGAGCAACAGTTATTATTAGCTTTAGCGATAGTCGATAAATATGTTATGATACCATTTATAGTTGATTTACTTTTTCCTAAAATAACAACGCGTGTATTGGATTTCTCTTGTTAACAACTATGAAAATACGTCGTCCGCTTCCCGAAAAAAAAAAGGAATGATTCTAAACTTTTATTTCAAATTCCTTTTTGCGTTAAACAGTATACTTCTTTATTTTGAATTTTATATATTAGAAAAAGAAACGTTTATAACACTTTTCTGCTATTAGTTTTCAGCGATCCTTAGTATCTACCGTATCATGTTTCTGAGAAAGCATTGGATCGTATATCTTCTTCGTCACTGTCGCGGCCCGGTTCAATCGCCCGGTACTCAAGCCTGTGCTGTTTTGCTTTCATCGTCCGTCCTGTCTGTCTAGTGAACGCATCCATCCATTCAGATCCAAAAGCTGATCAGATGTATTTTGTTATGATTCCGCATGTCGTCGTTGTCGTCGGCGACCCGATAGTCTTCTTTGTATGATGAGCGGTCGGCAATGTATTGGTATGCAGTTTTAATGGTAGCAACGCTGTGGTTTGCCTAGATTGAGATTTGACCGTATCCCTAAAAAAAGTCCGTACTAAATACCGGCTGTTATGTCCACCTTATTCGATCTATCTGACCCGCAGTCGTTGCATAAAACTAATATAGATGTAAATAGATCACGTTAAATTTCCGCGCGCCACCTAACAAACAACGGTAGCAGCTGCAGCGGAAATGGTCGGTGCGTTCTAACGGAGACGACAGTCGGTCCTTTCATCTTGCTCTTGAGTGCCCTTGATTTTAGAACGTTTATTTGGACTAAGTAACAGCTACTCAAACACTTAACGCTAATCGGCTACAGTGTATTTGAATCTGGACAATATGGTGACGGATTCGGTGTTAGCGAAACCGTTGTGCTTGCATGTTCCCTGCTGTGTTCAGAATTGAGTGCCCGTGTGTTTAGGCACTCTGAACCGGGAAGGACTAAAATTCCAAGAGATCATCAGATTCAATAAGTACGTCGCTCAATCATATTTGCGTCAATCATTGCGGACGATTATTGACCCGAAGGGTAATCAGGATTGAGTCAGAAAATAGTAGGTCAACCAATAAAGATATACAGCTAAGCATGTAATTTTGTTTCGAGCTGTACGTCGGCCACGAGCCCAATTCTATCCATTACAAAAAAAAAGTTCGATTTTGTGCGGCACGTGGCGACAAAAAATGATAAAATATATCATAGTCGCCCTTTTTGCCTGCATGTCTTGATAGAATATATGCTTACGTTAGTAATATTTGTTATCGGTATTTAGCCGGCGCTGTGTGCGGTAACTCGCGTTTTTCTGTTCCACTTGTAATCCATCGAAGCGCAATACCCAGTTGAGAAATCTAGCTAATTGCATTATATGTGACAATACACTTTAATATACTATACATCAATCTTTAACGTTTATGTAATGAACTTTGATATAATACTAAGAGAAACAAAAAAAATAAATACTGACTTGACGGGGTTTCCTCCTCTCTATAAATACAACAAGTGAGAACTAAGGAAGATTTCGTCTTTTCAAAAGATTGATTCATGAATGGTATGCGGTATACTAAGCAGAGTAGCGACAACAATGACGCGTACGGAAAGAGGACGAAAATAACGCAGAGGAATAGAACATAGGTTACTTGAATAGGCTTTTGTACTATTTTTTAAAAAATATATCACGAAACCGCTATCATTTACGGCTGGCTGTATGACTAGAGTGTCATGACGGCAATAAAGAAAGCTGTTTCAAACAGAACCTGCTAATTTTATTGGTTTTTTTTATTTGATAAATTCATAAACATGTGGGGGCTTCCAACGAAGTTTTTTGAACAAATCAAATACGTGGAATATACAGAAAAGATGAGGAATTTTTCCTCCTTTTGAGTCTGACACATTATGTATTGAGAGCATTATAGAATCATCATTTGTCTCAAGCGTACGGATATTGAAAGCGTATTAAAATAGCACCGAAATATATTTAAAAAATATATGCTTTCTGAAAACGAGTATTAAAATATTTTTTCAATTTTGTATTATCAATCCGTGTAGGGTTTATCGGATAACAAAGCTATCTCATTCAACACAAGTACGGCAACAGGTTAGTGAATAAACTTGTAAGGTGATTCCAGCTTTATATTTCCTTTCGGTATCTTGTAATGCCTTTCAGTAACGGACCCTATATGGTTCATTGTTTATAGGTTTGTAGTTCCGTTTTCCTCCGTACTCAGCCATCTAGTAGTGGGCCAACTAATTGTTTCTCATTCCCTGAGTGTGAAATTAATACCTATACTTACAGCGACAAACCCCACAACATTATCATTCAATAAGAAGGGATTTAGACACGCTTGATAATTTATGATGGGGCTCATAATACAACAAATCAAATTCGGATCGGTGTACTCTATTGACGTGTGGATAAGGGATCATTGAAAATCGATTACCTGTTATAATTGGTTACCAGCAGCTATCGCTGTTAGATATCCTCATGTTCACGCATCATTGTATGGAATTGAATAATAGCAATAAATCTACGTTGTTTTCCTACTGCAATTTCAGGTGTTTCGAGACGGCAGTCGTTGAATAAGCGAATGTCAGGCTCTATTCAAAGAATGATCCAACAAAGCTTCGGAGGGGGCGATTCACACAATGGCACAAGTCCAAAGGTTTGTTTCCATGTTAATTTCATGAGTTTGCAAAAAGCACGCAAATATAATTATAATCTGTATTTTCATTCCGCAATCTTTTTTATTCTTATTGTTATGACCGGTAATGAATAGCAATGAAACTGATTTTGATATTGAGTGCTATTTTCGGGCTCATTTTGACCTAAGCTACACCAAGAATATGAAAGATTCAAGATTCAAATGCAACGTACACACAAGCCATTAAGGTTAGCACCAGTAAGACGAAGTTAGCACAATAACATTTGATTTGATTATCACAGGTATCGTTTTAGAGGGGTGAGTAGTGGGCACAAATTATTATACCTGTTACATATTGCAGTTACATATTCTCCTATTATCTTGCCTAGCAGATGGTGTACAGCATCAACGAGAAAGTGAGGTATCTGTACAGCAGTGAAGTTCTCAAGCGAGTTTTCTTCCAGCTTAATATGAGTTTACTGTTGCGATTACTATAATCGACATGCAAACGTCACGATGATTCCGAAGAGTCTTAACTATGGCAATATATTTATTGATTGATTGTTGCAGGCTGGCGGGACAATGCGGGAGACCATGTCTCCACTTAAACTATTTGTTAAGGCCAAGAAACACATTAATGCTGGCTTCTGTGATATCGCGAGGTATGTCACTGATGGGCAGGAGTTCTTAAAGGCACTTAACAATGACCTAGGGATTATTAACGCAGATGATAAAGCCCTCGTCGGAAGCTTCATCGAAAAAGTCCGAGGCATCAGAGATGTTCTGGCTAGAGATCACATGAAATGTGTCTTCTTTGGACGGTACGTACCTTGCGTAACTGAGCTTACTAGCCGTGCATTGCATATATCCATGTAGTTATGCATGTTAGAGGTGAAACTTTGTGAAGAAGGTTTTTTTACGCTAAATCTAGCCGAAGACGTACGTGACCTAGACAATGTTTCTCAAGAGGTTCTGTCATCCCTTGAGGGAAACAATTCGCTCGCAAAGCAACATCTATCGAAAGAATAGTAACGTTAAGTAGGAACGTTTGGAATAAACACAAAACTTTCGCCTGGCTTTTACTACTGCCTCTACAAATCTACGCATTTATAAAAATGCATGTTTAAAAAAATATCTATGAGTCCACAGAAATAAAAAAAACTCTTCGTCACAGCGTTTGTCCTCGATCAAGCCAAAACTGACCTAAAAGTGTCGGCTAAAGTTTCAGCGGCAATTTCTAATGATGCTAATTACATCCTTTCAAAAAAAAACAGTGTCTCTTTCTAAAGGTTTATTGCCCGTGACGTTATGGAAGCATCCCAGATATTACTGGCAGACGATTGTAAAACTTATGATAGTTATAGACTACTGCGTGATACGCTGCTATCAAGAATTCAAATTATTTGAAAAAAACTATTGAAATTCAATTAAGTTCCTAATTTGACTGATCAAAACATTACCTCCTATATTTACTATAAAACCATAAAAAATTACGGTGAAGAAATTCTTTCGGGTAAAATTCATTTAGATAAATTATCCTGAAAGGCCTCAGTCTTGGAGTTCGCACGACTGGGAATTGATACAAAATTCAGAATTTATTTTCAAACGAATCAGCACTTTAATAAGCAATAGCCCCAGCGAGCATAGAGAACTCAGTCCATCATTTGCAACCTGGATGTATTCCTTTTGTTCTAGGACAAGCAACGGAAAAAGTACTGTGATCAATGCCATGCTCCAGGACAAAATTCTTCCTTCCGGACTTGGTCATACTACCAACTGTTTCCTTCAGGTATGTGAATTGTGTGGTTGGGTGGGTGGAGTTGATGTACTAAATAAACGGTTATAAACGACCTAAAATAGCCTTAGACATATGAATCAAAAAAATAGTCGGTTCTGACTAGCACTGCTTGCACTCTTCACAATCGACAGTTGAAAGAAATCAGTATTCTGTGTATTGAAAAAAAAACGAAACGGGTTAAATCAAGTTTATAATTGCCTAATAATTTCAGCTATTCAATTATTTATCGCTAAGTTGTCGCTAAGTAAAGTTTCAGTATAGTTATTTTAGGATAACTTATGCCTTTAGCAAAAATGTCAGACTTGTTTGACGTGTTTCAAAAAACTAATCTGTGACAAAAATGTTTGTGTTTTGCACAAATTGTTGAACTAGCGGTTGCTCTTTGTTTCTTTTACAGGTTGAGGGTAGCAAATCAAATGATTCGTATCTGACCACGGAAGCTTCCACTGTTCGACAAAGTGTGAAGTCCGTTCAGCAGTTGGCAAATGCTCTCAACGGGGAATCCCTAGATCACAATGCCCTTGTTCGTATTTATTGGCCACCAGACCGGTGCAATCTGTTGCGGGACGATGTAGTCCTTCTCGACTCTCCCGGCGTCGACGTATCTCCGAATGTTGACGACTGGATTGACAAGTACTGCCTTGACGCTGATGTTTTCGTCATTGTGGCCAACGCGGAAAGCACGCTGACAACAACGGTATGGGTTACCCTGTGTCTGAGGACATTTAGATGGGCAACTAATTGAAAAATAGTAGATTTTTACTGTAGTATCTACAGTGATATACAAATGAGCGATAATTTACATAACATTAAAGGCCCTTAAGTCGTGATCATTTTTCCTTCTCAAACTCCTATTGTGATTATATGTGCATATCTGTTGCGAAGACAGGTTGTTTTAGTTTTTCTTCCGGGGTAAAGGCAAGAAGAGTAAGTATAACACTAGAATAGTAAATATGCCATATGTTTTTGGTAAATGATAATTTTTTCAGGAAAAAAAATTTTTCCACAAAGTGTCAGAAAAGCTGTCTACGCCAAACGTGTTTATTCTTAACAATCGATGGGATGCCTCGGCCAACGAGCCTGAGAGTATGGAGATGGTTCGCAAGCAACACCTTGAAAGAAATATTGCCTTTCTAGTTGACGAACTGAAGGTAACTAGGATGGAGTGAATTCCTTTACTTTTAGAATTTAAACTTTGTTCATTGGATTGTTTATATATATCTGATCTGAAAATACACTATTTAGTTATAGACTTATCGACATCTTACTCATGTTTTATAATGCATTCGCTCCGGTAACGAAGGTGTACTCGACCCGAGCAAAGGCCGAAGAGCGGGTTTTCTTCATATCTGCAAGAGAAGTTCTGGATACGCGAATTCGTAAGCTTAAAGGCGACGGCCAGTCAGCAGGTGAGTACACTTCCTTGCAAATTATGAATGTAGCATTCAAGCGTCGTGGGTTTATGTGTCGCTTCCCAATCCCCGTGACCGAGTCAGAGGCGCAATTAATTAAAAGGAAAGAATAAAAGGAAAGAGAAAGAAGATTACACTCGTCGTTGGTTGTAGTAAATACGTATATGTGAACACGGTATGTAACTGAAAAATTATGGATGATAATATTAATTCGAATTAATTCGGCTACTTCGTTTATCATTGACAGTATATGTGGAAGGCTACCAAGCTCGTTATTTCGAGTTTGAGGATTTCGAACGCAAGTTCGAGAAATGCCTATCAGAGACTGCCGTAAAGACCAAGTTCCAGCAACACTGCGAGCGTGGCTACGAGATTGTGCAAAGTGTCTATAACGTCATGAACAAGGCATACGAGGGCGCTGCAAGGCTGAAAAAGGACAAACAGCAAGAGCGTGATGAGCATTCAGAAAAATTAGAGCATACGAAGCAACAGATGGCAATCCTCACTGAAGAAACGAAACATCGCATCGAGCAGCTTGTTGAACAGGTATTTAAGCAAACATCACTTGCAGCAATGCACAAAGAATATCTTCTTTGTTCTGACAGCTTACTTAATAATGCAGCCAGAACAATTCACGCGTAGCAATTGCAAGCGCCATTTTTCAGGTCCGACCTTAAGCCTTTTTTTTACGAAAAAAGGCGCACTGAACGCTTAACTCATACAACATATCTTCATTGTGAAATATTTTCTGAATTTTGCACGCAGTTCAACCTTACTAGGTTGAGTTGAACTCGTTTAGTCTAGAGCATTATTTCCAACTCGTCAGTTAAAACTTAATTCATTGCTTAGGCATTTCTTCTTATGCTTTGTTAGGTGGAGTGCCAAGTGACCCAGGCTCTCTCCGAGGAGATTCGCAAGCTGAACGTGCTCGTCACAGAATACGAACGACCGTTTCACCATGATCCGGCGTTGTTAAACCTCTACAAGAAAGAACTACATTCGTATGTCGAAAAGGGCCTTGGCTCGAATCTCAAGGCACGTCTCAACGTGCAGCTGCAATGTTCAGTCGAGACGTCGCAGAAGGATATGGTGTCCCGGCTCGCTACACTTATCCCCGATCAACTGCAGTCGCAAATGCAGAATGCCTTGCCACGGAATCACTTCGAGCCGTTATACCGCCTCAATTGTGAGTCTCTCTGCGGGGATTTTCAAGAAGACCTCGAGTTTCGGTTCTCGCTCGGCTTGACGGCACTGATCAACCGCTTTCTAGGTCCACGCCGCGCAAATCATCCACTGCTAGGTCAGAGTCCAGTGCCGCGACCGCTTTCGGCCGGTGCGTTGACTCCTAGCGAACGGGCTTTTGGCACTGAGATGCCGCTAACGCCGCTTAGCATGCCCGCCGAAGACTACCTGGCTGTTATCTCGAAGATCGCTTTGCTGTCACCAACAAGTCAGACTGCGGTCGGCATTTTCGCTATTGCAGGACTGGTTGTGCGCACTGTGGGGTGGCGCCCCATTATCGTCTCATTAGGTGCATATTGTTTGGTCTATGCATACGAGCGTATGACGTGGACGAATAAAGCGAAAGAAAAAGCCTTCAAGAAACAGTACGTCCGTCACGCTTCCAGCAAGCTGAAGCTTATCGTTGAACTCACGTCGTCGAACTGCAGTCACCAGGTTTGTGGTGTTACCAGTTAAGACACCACAAGATTTTATTCCAGAGTGTTTCTTGTATAATTTTTTTATCATTATTCAATTAACCGTATGGTAGCCCACGCAGTCTCCTTAGCGCACATAAATCTGCTTCTTTTGGAAAATTTGATTGGCTGATTGAAGCGACATCAAATGTGCTTCAAACTAGTCCAAATGAGACTTAGCACACACAGACAAGATACCCAAAAAGCAATAATAGGTGTTATCATACTTTACTATAAGTAAACACTATATCTTATGTATACCTGGAGTATAGGTGCAGCAAGAGTTGTCGGGGACATTTGCAAGATTGGGCCATTTAGTTGACGAAGTGGTTACAGACATCGAAGCAGATATCAGCCGCCTGGACGGATGTATCGCCGAAGCTGAGGAAGCGGAGGACCAAGCGCGTCTTCTGAAGTAAGTTCACTGAGGGCTCACAGTTACAACACAATCAACTAGGTTTCCCGAAATCGACCATTTAGTACAAACTATAATCGCGTAGCATCCTCGCGAAAGCTATTTATAGTATGAGAAAATCAATTTTCGTATCAAATACCTGAAGAAATTTCCTTGAGTGTTCAAATACTTGATATATATCAGGTTATGGAACATAACTTTCCATGGGAAGTGAACTTTTACTTTTCGATTTTTTCACAGGCTCACTTTTCTTATTTTTAATCGAAGTATGTGCCATCATCATCTATAACATTAATATTTTAATTATTATTTATTATGCTGCTGGAGAAGTTTAAGGTACAAAAATTTATGAAGTATTGAAGGATAGTTCATATATCATCCTGCGAAGAAGTTGACGAGATTTTAAAAAATGGAAATCTGTGGGAGTCACGTTTGCCAGGAAGCCTCCGACTCTATTCTCTTCATTTTTGCCATTGTGATTCTTACGGCACAACGTCGAACGAATTGGTTGACTTCTGCTCACTGACCCTGGCTGTTTAATGCGGAGTTTTTTTTATTATCTCTCTCAGTTGTTGACACTACACTTCAGCCATACCTGATAAACGACTCATGAAACTATAGTGGACAACTTTACCATCAAGGCACTACACAAACAGCATAAGATTTTGTAGCTGTACATTTTCTTTGGGGGAACGTCCGGTCGATTCAGCTGCATCCACCCACTGTTATGACTATAAGGAATCCATTTAACCAAGCAAAAATGAGTCATTATTCTAATGTAAAACAATTAAAAACTAAAACAAATAAAAACGAGTATCTTTACGTCCCCGTTTTTGAACCTCTCCCAAAAATTCCATTGGCCCACCCCGACCACATTTTTTATTATATTAGTTGGACCGATTTTATTATGTATAATATCTTCACATATACCAATACTAAAGTTAATATTCATCCTTTTCGAAATGGGTTAGCTTCCAGCACGATCCTCCACCCTTCATCACTTGCCTTTACAAAGTGTTTTTCGCAAGACTAATTTTTGAGCTCAAAATTTTCTTTTCAGAAATTCTTGAAACAGTGGTTCATGGTGGTTTTAGTAATAGAACCTTCACCAAGTACGTGGTTTCAAAAAAGAACTCACATATGTAGACCGCTCAAATTCTCCGATTTTCTATGGTTCAATACAACTCACCTACTAAGAGCCCAAGTGACGCTATCCTGGTTAACGATTTTCGACTTTAAATAGTTTATACACATAGATCAATATTTGTCATATCAATATATTGAACGACCTAAGATATCATGTAAATAAATTGATAGTTCAGCCTTAGGTTCCCCTGAAGAGAAAATGATCTCGCTTGCAAGTAAGTCTCCCAAAGTACAGTCACATTAGTTTTTGATGTTTCGCGTTGAGATTTGTCAATAACCAGGTAACACGTGCGCACTTTGTTACGTCATCGATTTCAGGAACCAAGCCAACTTTCTGCGAGCTACACTGGACAAATTTAGCGAAGAATATCTTCGTCAAGATGAGTAGTAGAATCCCGAACAAGACGCACATACAACGACAACGGTAGATTAGGTTGGCGATGGGAATGCAACAGAAAAGAACTACAGTTTGGCTACGACCTTCACCAAAAATTCTCTGATGACCTGGAACATTGGAACTGAAGATTGGAATAAGGGCAACGGCATTTTGAGAAGCAACCATGGCGCAAATACCTGTTCCTACTAGGAGTAACAGTTACTGCTAGAAGTGATATGCTGCGTGACAATGGAAAGTACACGATTGGAAAACGAAGAATTTATCCTTTTTTAAGCAGGTGACAGCTACTTGGCTCGAATCTTCGAAAGTCGAAGCTCGTGCACGCATAAAAAACAGCTTGAAAAAACGACTGAGTAAAAGTTTAGCTCTCTTAATTTGATACGAAAGAATGACGCATGCCCAATTGCGGAAATGAGAAGGCGGGTCGCCACGGAAATTGTAGATAGCAACCAGAGTGGATTCTACCCCTCGATAGGCGGGAATTAAATATAGATAATATTAGGCATAAGTCTAATTTACAGTTATTGAATGGTGGGAGCTGAGAACGAATGGTGTAGAGCCTCTTTGCAGTGTTAACGTCATTTGTAATAAATATTATATGGATATATGTATTCTGACTTTAGACAATGATGACAATTCAGTTACAGGCCCAAGAGTTCGGCAACACCTATTAGTGAGAATTCATATGTTACTGTCAATAGAATACTTTCCATCTTTTCTATAGGTAGAATTAGAAGACCACCTAAACCAACTGAAAAACGTGTATACAAATTGGATTTTTTCCTCAACAAAACGTAATGATTACCGCTTATGATAGATGGCAGGTTTCATTTAATAACTACTATATAGTTAGGCAAGGAACATATTTCGTCTAGTTCTTAACGACTAAATTGATGAGCTTCTTCAATTTCCAGAAAGCAAATTTCATAATTTAATAAAGCGTAACGACGCAATCGACCATTTAGAATCGAAAACCAAACAAATTAGCTGTGCACTCCACGCCAGAAAAAAATAGTACACATTTTAACTACATCGCTAATGAAAAAGCGCACATTTGGCGTGAATGCACAAATACCCACAAGGCATAAATACAGTTTTGAGGACTTAACTTAGTAATTTTTCAACTCATTATCTAGAATTAGCACGCTGGACTATTTTTATTCTGTTGTACTAAGAAAGCTTTATTAATGGGAATGTAGGAAGTACCAACTGAATTTAAGGTCATCTACATTTTACATGCATGCATTTATCATAACGTTTGAAAGACAACGGTCATCGGGTGCTCTTTTTTTCACTCGATATTGATTGGGGTCTATTGTTAATTTTTTATTGTTAATCATGATCCATTATATTTAAAAACAAGTATTATAGGAAACTGAATCGCAATATTAGGTATTATTGTTAGTTGACGATTAGCTTTTCGTAAGCGCGGTTTTAATAAGGACATACTTTACCACAGACAAACTTTCATATTTGATGGATTCGGTATCCTATTAGTCAACTGTAAAATGTGTTCGGCTGTTTACGACAGATGGCGATAGATCTTTCAAAATTTTTAGTGCATCTAGTGAACGCACATTTTGCTGACAAAAAAAGAAACATTTTGCTATGTTTCTTTTTTTTTTTTGTCAAGTGCTAAAGCGGTCGCTGCAGAGTTTTTGCTCGTGCCGTTCCTGACATAGTGGTTATCACCCTATATAAATTCATTTTCTTGCGAGCACAACTTTTGCTATTAAGGACACGATATGCATAAATTTTCAAGTGTATACAACTGCAACAAAGCGGTATTCTCGTGTTCGCAGAGTTAGCTCTATTCAACAGTAGTACAAAATTATCGTCGTCTTACTAGAAAAATGATTACGGTCAAAAAATTTGGTTACTCAGGTAAGTTTTTCGGGCCTGTTTCAATCACTTCTTAGACTGTTACACCAGGTCTCTTAATCGGGAACTTTCAATCGAGACCTTTTCATAGTTTGGTTGAATTTCTAATTGCTAATCCTAGCTAATTAAAGATCAATATTATTTGTATGTTTGGCGCTTCTATTTAATGGCTAAAACAGCCTTGAACCGGCCCATCGAGGCTTATAGGTTCGACACTGAATGACTATGACAAAAACCCAGAGATTATCCAGTCATTTCTCGGACAACTCCTGCTACTCGTTTCATTCCTTTTCCGCGCTCACGCTCTTGTGAAAGGCGAAAATTAGTCTTTTTTAGCAAAGAAAATAGAAAAGACTCTAAGGATCCATAAGAATACCGTCATGTAACCTTTCCATTTTAGGCGCTCTTACTACCACTGATACTTTACATTGCATTTTCTACGGAAAAAACGTCGTACGAGACGGAGCGTAGCGCAGCATGCCAACCATTAAGTTGCCCCTTCCTTTATCTTACGCAATGCAACGCTAGCGCGTCTTACGTTGGTCGAAGTCGGATGTAGTTGTGTAGGAGTAATACTCTACCGTTTTGAGAAAGGGACAGTTTGGCTTTGGCAACACCCTCAGCGAGGTTTGCGGCCTTCGTCTAACAGTCTTTTTTTTTTCTACTGTCCAATTTGTCTCATCTCCTCGACTTAACTTTACGGTAATAATAGAAATATTGAATAATCTTCTTATTGTTAAGTTGTCGACAATCAGGTCATTAATAAATTTAAATGTAAAAAGTTTGTAATAGTTGAGTGCGTGTTTGTTTTAGACTTGACGTCGTCTTTTGCTGCCGTTATAAATATATATATATATATAGTTAATTTGATAACGGTTCCGGTGATTACTTAGCCACGACAGACAGGCAGCATTCTACAAAAGAAGCCCTTACGACTTGTCATCGATATCATAGTTGCTAGGTTGTCATTATAGTAGTATAGCCATCATGACTATTTTTCTAACTGTATTAACCCATCGGACTTTATCATCGTGTAACATGTTTCGTTTACGCCTTTTTGCCAAATCTTAAGTGGAGACAAGTTTTAATTGCATTAAACAAGCCCTTGTAAATGTTAAAATTTCTTTTGACTGCGGTATTGTTGATTAGAATAGAAAGTTTGCATATGCTAACAGTGGAGTTGCAAAAATAACATTAAACATAGCTAAATCGAGGCTTGCTCAGCTTTTGGTTGTATGCAGATCTTCTGCCCGGCCGGCGATTGGCGATTTCCTTAAGATCCTTTACTTTAGTCTGCTTGTTGTCACTTAACCTATAATCTCAAAATAATGAAATCCGATGAATTTGCCGTAACTCATTATCTCCGTAAAGCCATGTCATATCTTATACATTGCAATGAATGCGACGTTTGTAATTAGGCCGAAACAACTTGGAATTATTGTTAGTTATGTTGTTTATAGGTACATACAAATTGCAGTACCACTCCGCGGCATGCGTAGCTATGCGGCCTTACGTAATGCAAACAAAAAACGAGACGTTTCATGTCAACCATTTAGCAATACACGGCCTTTCCTAGAGTTCCTTAAAACTTATTGCTACTATTATAAAGTAAGGTTTAGGTGGGCGGAAGATGGTAAATGTTTCCCACTATTTTTCTAGCTATTACTTCTGTTACTTAACATGCGTATTAATCTAAACATGATTTATATATCCCCACTCTTTCCTTTTTATATATCCATCATTACAACAAGAAATGATCATCATCACCCATGCTACATATATCATTACGTGGTCTCCTGTACGGCAAAGATTATTGTGATGGATGTTTTCCCGATCATCATCATAGCTATCCCTTTAGCAATAAAATGTCCTAATTAACAGCATCTCTTCAGTAACCCTTGCCGTACTAATCAACTATCGTTTCATTCCGGATTTGTCATCACGGAAAATATCGATTGCAGTACAGTCAATACACACGACCAAATATATATAGATATTCTGGATATATGTATCTTTTTAGTTTATAGCAATGATAAAAATAGTCATGATTATAATTATAATTAATATGATTGTAGTATAATATATAGTAATCATAATTATCGGTATTATTAATACTTCAAATACAATAATTTGTGACCGTTTTTTCATTCTTCTTTGGTTGTACAGCAATAGATTGTTGTATAATTGATACATACATATGTACATGCGAATAAATGCGATGTTAAGTCCTCTGTTAACCCCCTTCATTTTCTGCCTATGATATACTAGAAACCATACAGATACACAGACTTCAACTGCTATACAACTGAAATGGGCCTCTAGCCACAGAATCTTCCCTTCTAATCATCTTGTTTTTCTATCGCTGTTATTTGTCTGGTAAATTAATATTTATTTAATGAACGATGATTTCACCCCTTTATGTATTTAGAAAGGATATAGACAGACGCTAGCGTTCGTGTCGTCAATAAATTAGTAAATGAAGATTCCCATTTTTACCTGCTGTATAGTTGTAGATATTTTGATATATAGGGCAATGTGGATTTTAGCCTTCTGTTTATTGCAAAGATAGAGCAGTGGTACGTAGTGGATTGCAGTCCTATTAAGGGGCCACTGGCGACCGCCCCATGGAAAAAATTTAGCATGCCGGGCAAAAATTCGAACTTTTTGTTGTTGCAGACGTCGCTGCTGACAGCTGCAGCTTAGGTACTATTCATTCAAGGAAAGTAGGATTTAGGTCGCTTGATTTATGCACGGGCTTTCATGTACAAGATATAGAATTTGGCGGAAAACGAATAAGGGTTGTGAGCGATTTTAGGTAAGTAACCGGAGTGCCATTTAAAGATGATTCGGTAATAGGTAACTCTTAAAACTGGTTAAATACGACTCATCATTTTTGGAACCAATAGATTGTATCCGCTGTAGGATGGGACAGCCTTTGTATCCAGATTCCAGTTCCTACCTCCCTACGCCTGTACGCACCATGGCCGTGATCGCCCAGTAGGTAATGTGTTTGTCTAAGTCTAGGTGCGCATATTGGCGTAGACACACTTCGTTTCAGCCAGCCAGCAGAAGTAATGCTAAACGACTTCAGTATCAAACATGGAAACTATTACTTACGGAGAAAGAGGACAAACATACATCTGGCAGAAACCAGCGTTTCTTATAAAACTTTCTGAACGGGTTTGTTTGTTTTCCTTGAGTGCAGGCATTTCAAAATTTGAGTTGTAAATAGAAAACACTTTGATTCATCAGATAACTTAAATAAATCCAAAAATCAAGCCGCTTTTAATCATTTTACTTGAAAACTTGTAATTAGAGAGATGCTACCATTATGTAAAACAGATTAGATTTTATCATGTAACTGTTTTTCGCTTTCTCTTTCTTATTAGGTATCATGGTTTAATATCCTTATTTCTGAACAACAGATCCATTATATAACAGCAGCGACTATTAGAATCACGTACTTCAGGTCAGGGTACGAACCTGTAACATTATGCTATATAACAGACAGTAAAGTCTGTTTGTCATGTATATTGTGGGTGTATAGTGATCTGTGCATGACTTTTACTTATGTCAATGATATTCTACTTGCTTGTGTTGCTGCTAATCCTTTTTATCGCAACGACATATCATGTTGAGATAGGAACAGAACCTTGATTGATTGGTGATTTTAGAAAAATCACAGACAGGCTATTGTTAAATTGCAGACGCTGTTGTGTAGACCTACATTGGAGACTACAAGACTGAAGTCATCCGGGATCCTAATTCGTGTAAAACATCAATATTACAGAACTAATCCTTTTTTTTCAGCATATCAATATAATAGAATTTTACAAATATTATCACTGAAATAGCCCTAAGCTACTGCAGCTAATAGATGCAAAGCTAAGCAGCAGCTAAACGGAGGACGATCCGGGAGATTTCTGATGGCGCACCTTAGTCGACCATGAAGATTAGGCGGCCATTTGCCGGCAGTGATAAAACAGTAACAATACCCGATTGATTTCTATGTGGGTTTTAATTATTTTATTAACACACAAGCGTAATAATGTTAGTCGTAGATAAAATTTGAATGTGTTTCGTCTCTGTTGGCTTCGGAAACGCGCGAACATGTAAAATAATATATGATTGGTGTTTGCGTTAGTCTGCAAAAAAAATAATGCTAATGATAAAAAAATAATAAAAGAAACGCTACGTGTATCTAAGTTTAAGAACTGTTTGCATTGCGTGTAAATATTTACGTACGCTAGTACAGTGGGGTAAAATTATCTGGTACAACCACTAAAAACACAACCGTTTGGTGACTAAATTGGAACTAAGCTATATCGAAATGAATGTGTAACGACAGTTTAAGTTTACAAAGTTACAAGTGCAATGTACAAAAGCGCGGTGGTCGTGTGCTGGGGCTGCGTATTCTGTAACTGCCACCGCAGCCGCCAGAAACGATTATTAGGTCGCGTTCATGTCATGCATGAATCACAAGCCGTATCTGATATTTAGTTCGTGGCGTTCATTGCAATCGTTTCATTCACTGGGCGTCACCGAGCGATATTTTGTAATATATCTAATCGCTAAACAAAAATCATCGTAAAACAAATACATAAATATCGATTCGGTGTTACGCAACGAAATCCGGATCACGCAAAGAAGCGGAAGCTACATCGTATCGGCTTGTCTCTTTTTTCTATTTCAGGTTTTTTAAACACGCACTAATCTATATTATTTGCGATTGCCATGCACAAAGGCATAATGCTTCTAATAATAATCCAGTTTTATTGACAGTTCTATACGTGGTCTCGGTTGTTTATCTGTCCTTAGGTACCTCGAGTGCGACGTACATCAGCACGTCGATGTACCCAGCTGCACGAACAGGATACTATCGATGCATGTCCACACACACACACACACACACACACA